CTGAGCGACTGAACTGAGCTGAACTGAATGACCCAGCACTGACACTTGTAATCTTCCAGGCGTGGTTCTAAGCCCAGCTTGTGTGTGCACCGATGCCATCCTCACCACATCCTCACCTACACAGTCCTGTGGGACTGATGCTATTGTCGATACCACTTTTAAACATGGAAGCCAAGGAGCAGGGCGGTGGACTATGAACCCCAAGGAGCAGGGCGGTGGACTATGAACCCCAAGGAGCAGGGCGGTGGACGATGAACCCCAAGGAGCAGGGCGGTGGACTATGAGCCCCAAGGAGCAGGGCGGTGGACTATGAGCCCCAAGGAGCAGGGCGGTGGACTATGCGCCCCAAGGAGCAGGGCGGTGGACTATGCGCCCCAAGGAGCAGGGCGGTGGACTATGAGCCCCAAGGAGCAGGGCGGTGGACTATGAGCCCCAAGGAGCAGGGCGGTGGACTATGCGCCCCAAGGAGCAGGGCGGTGGACTATGCGCCCCAAGGAGCAGGGCGGTGGACTATGAGCCCCAAGGAGCAGGGCGGTGGACGATGAACCCCAAGGAGCAGGGCGGTGGACGATGAACCCCAAGGAGCAGGGCGATGGACGATGCACCCACTGCCCACCTGGTGGCTACTGCTGTTAGCGTTTTCAGGGGGTTGGCAGCTTAACGGGATCTCAGTTCCCCAGCAAGGGATTGAACCCAGGCCCCTGCAATGAAAGCACCACTCGATCACCCTTTTTTAAAAAAAATCATTATTACTTTCTTTTGATAATCTTAATAACTTCTGAAATTTGCTTAGCACGTTTCACACGCAGAACCTTTTTTCTGCTGATGCTTCTGCAGGCCTGAGCCCATTTGTCAGATAAGGAGACTGTGGCCTGGAGACGCAGCCCCACTCCAGGCCACTGCAGAACTTGGGTCGTCTTCTTGAGATACCACTCTGTGGTTCCTGAGGCCATCTCCCCTGCAGGCTGGAAGGGACTGGAGGCCAGGAGCCCGGTTGGAGGTTCCTCCTAGCCCATGGATTTGGCTGTAGCCCTGATGTTCCAGCCATCAACCAGGCTGGAAGGGGCATGGGGGCAGCCTGCCCAGCCCTGACTCCCAGGCAGGGGCCGCTTAGTGAGGAAGGAGTACCATGTCTGCAGCTACAAGTCAGACTGGGCATACGGTCCATCCGTCCCTAGCTAATTCTGACAGCAGGTCATCTGTAAAAATCACAAGTTAAAATAGCACAGTTATTACACACTACAGGGCCAAAAATAACCAGGACCGGAACAGGGCTGTGGACTCAGGCCTGTATTTGCCTAGGGGCCTCTGGAAGCTCTTCCTGACTCCTTGGGTTCCTCCTCGAAAGGAACCCGCGGCCTCCAGTGTGCAGTGGCTGGGTGGTGAGCGCGGCGGCTGTGGTGGCGAGCCTTACCTCTGTCTTTCCTGAGTGCTACCAGGTGCTGGCTTCTTCCGGGAGGGCGTGGGGCCTGAGAGAGCTTGCACCTCATCAAAGAGATGATTCATGCCCAGAAGTACAGGAGGGGAGGCAGGGTTTACTGGAAGGGAAGAAGGAGCTCCTTCCTGGGCCTGGGAGGCCAGGGTGATGGGGGCGGGCAGGGAGAAGCAGAGTGAGGCCCCACAGTGTCATAGAGCAGGTGCACCTCCTCCCCGCTAGACCGTGGAGGAGGCAGACATGCTCGGAAGTCCTTCCAAGAGAACACACTAGCAGGCAGCTGCTTGGTGGTGGTGGTACGGCTACTATGGGAGGAAGAGGAGAAAATCCATACCCCGAACAGGGTGGCCCCTGACAGGAGAGAAGAGGCCCCAGGAGGCAGAACCATGGGTGGGGCCCTGTGCTAATAAGCCCATTACACTTTATTATCTCACTGTCTCATTTCATTATCTCATCAAAGGCTCAGAACAGCCCTGTGAGCTGGAGACTTGCTTCTCCCATTGTATAAGAGGGCCGTTTCCTGGGTCAGGAAGATCCCCTGGAGAAGAGAATGGCATCTCACTCCAGTATCCTTGTCTGGAGAATCCCAGGGGCAGAGGAGCCTGGTGGGCTCCAGTCCATGGGGTCGCAAGTCAGACACGACTTAGCGACTCACCCACCACCATTTTATAGAAGAGACAGCTGAGGCTCAGGGAAAGTTAATTAACCTACTTAAGCTCAGTGGATTCTAGGATTAAGGCCCTCGCTCTTAACCACTAGGATACATCACCTCTGAGAAGGCTTTTTGGAGGAGACTGGATGGAAGGGTTTCCGTCTGGCAAAGGGAAGGGCATTTCTGGTAGAGGGAGCTACTTGTGAGCAAAGACAGAAGTGGGAAAATAAACACTACATCATGGAGGAAGCTCTGCATGATTGGGACCTCTGTTGTGCGTGTGCATGCATGTGTAGGGGGAGAGGAGGTTGGGCAGCCTGTAACTCCCAGCAGCCCTGTGGGCGTTACCTGTAGTGGATTGGGAGCTGGGGTCCCTCTGACTTGCTCTGTGACCTTGCACAAGTTCCATCGTTCTCTGGGCCACCGTTTGGTCATCTGTCAAGTAAGGGGTTGGGGTGAGGGTCTCTGAGGCTTGGTGAGCGGCCACCAGTCTACCAGGGCCCTCTTCCAGGAGCCCATCGAAGAAGGGAAGGGTCAGGCCAGGGTAGGAGGATTGCAGAAAAATGCCACGCATTTCAGAGGTCGGGGGGGGGTACTGGGGAATATCTTGACAACAAAGAGGTCGTCTGTGACCTTGGCAAGCTCTGGCCCTTTGGAATGGAGGGAGCGGAAGTGGCTTTGGAGAGGGGCCAGGAAAGGGCAGAGCTGGCGGAAATGAGAGCAGGGAGACATGAAAATGCGAGGAGGAAGGATGTTTGCCGAGGGGCAGGGGTGGATAAAGAGATGAACAAGGCCACCCCTGAGGGATTGGTATTACCTACCTGCAGCCTTTATTAAGAAACAGTTCAGAGCCTTTAAATCGGAGGGAATAGAGCTGCGATGGATTAGCAATGTCCGCCGAGGACACAGGTGACCAGCCTGGCCGTACGTAGTTTGCCATCCTTGCTCAGAGGGATCTCAGGTTGCAAGTGGTGGTCTGGCAGATTCCTACAAAGAGGAAGCCTCAGGAATTAAGAACTGTCGAGGGAAATGCCTCTGGCTGTAGGAACTTCTCCCTGACATTTTGCTAAAAGGAGGGTAGTTTGCCTCGTGGGAAGATAGTATCATCTAATGGTTAGGAACTTGGGCTTTAAGCATGACTTAGACAACTGATTGGACCTATTCCTTGTCCTTTGAGCCTCAGTTTGCTCATCTGTGAGATGGGATGAGAGAAAGCTAGCTTGAAAGGTAGTCATGAGTGTTAGAGCTCTGTTTTGCCCTGGGGGTGGTAACGTTCTTGGTTTCTTTGAGGGGAAGGCCCATTGTCTTAGTTCTCCTCACCTAACCAGGACTGGAACACCTCCGGGACTTTCTGATTCTCTTTGGAGGATCAAATGAAATAGACTCCTGGTTGATGGACAGAGGATGGGATCCCTTTGGGAGTCTTCTCAGTGGGGCCTGGCCTTCTTTCGGGGTAGAGGCCTAAAGGCAGCGGGCCAGGGTCCAGAGCTGAGGATGGTGTTGGGGGCATCTCAGGCCTGAAGGCATCCTTGAGGTTGTCTGGGTCATTCCTTCCCTCAGGCATGCCAGCTTGCATGCATCAGGCTCCCGTTCACCTGGGTCTTACTCTGCATGGGGGGCCTAGGAACTCCTATGAGTTCATGTATGACCCGCACCCCAGCGAAGACCACTCTTCTCCTCTTGTCCCTCTGCCTGCTCAGGGCCTCTCACGTGGATGGGGCCAAATAGGGGTCTCTTTCCAACTCTCCCTCCTGGTCTGTTTCACTACCCAGTGAGCCAGGCTCCTGCCCTCTTTCCAACCTTCCTTCGGTCACGGTCAGGCTTGCAGAGGGCCCTTCTCGTGTGTGCTGCTGTGTGCCATTGCCGCAGCCCAGGCGTTACTAGTCTCAGAGGAGAGAGGCCTTCCCCAGGACCATGCAGGTGGAAGGAAGTGGAGCTGGGATCTGAACCCCGGTCTTCCGGAGTCAGGTGGCCTTCATGTCAAGTCTTTTGAGCAGTCACCTCCCTCTTTGCCCACTAAGCCTTACCTCACCTCTGCTCTCCTTGGACTGCTGTCTCTTTCCTAGTCTCCCTTCCCCCCTACCTCCTGGGGTCTGTGGCTATGCAGAGAGAGGCTGGGGCCATGGGAATCACCTAATCGTGAATTCTGATTCCAACCCTTTACTCACTGGCCTTTGTCTGCCAGCCTTATCTTTCTGAGCCTCAGTTTCCTAATCTGTAAAGTGGGAATAATGTCCGTCTCACCAGATTGCACTGAAGGTCCGATAAGAAAATGGCCTGGCTTGCCCTCAGAAAGTATTAACACTGAAGTTAAGAGTTTGGGCTTGAAAAGAAGAGTTTGATTCTGGGCTGTTGTACTTGCTGGCTCTGTGGTCTTGGTCATGGGATTTCGCCTCCCTGGGTCTCCATGTCTTTGTCTCTAGATGGGTTTTCTAAATGGGGCTTCCCTCATAGCTCAGTTGTTAAAGAATCTGCCTGCAATGCAGGAGACCCGGGTTCGTTTCCTTGGTTGGGAAGATCCCCTAGAGAAGGGAATGGCAGCCCACTCCAGTATTCTTGCCTGGAGAATCCCACGGGCAGAGGAGCCTGGCAGGCTACAGTCCATGGGGTCGCAAGAGTCAGACGCGACCTAATGACTAAACCACCACCACCAGGTCTCACTGTCTTTGTCTCTAAATGGGTATGATAAAAGTGTCTGCCTCCCAGGTTCTCATGAGGGTGGATGAGAAGATTTGACATAAAGTTTCCTATCACGGTGCCTGGATATGCAAGAAAATGTTAGCCCTTCATTAAAGAGAAAAATAATGATAGATGGGGGACCCCGGTGTCCCTTGCTGGGTCTTCCTAGGAGATGGGGGCTGCAGACGCTGGCCCTACCCATCAGGGTCTGAGGGCCTGTCCTCCTTTGCTCAGAGCTGCCTGAAAACTGGACAGACACCCGGGAGACACTGCTCGAGGGTATGCTGTTTAGTCTCAAGTACCTGGGCATGACGCTGGTGGAGCAGCCCAAGGGTGAGGAACTGTCAGCCGCCGCCGTCAAGAGGATCGTAGCCACGGTGAGCCCAGTCAGGGCGGGTTGTGGGAGCTCCAGGCGGGGGGCTGGCTCCTGCGGGGGTGGGGGTTGGCGCTCATCACCCCCCCTCCGTATATCACCCTGGCTGAATGTGTCAGAGCTGCCCTGCCGCCCCACCCCCCCCACATCCAGCTTAGAGACTCTAAAGGGGAGCCACTGGGTGTCAGGGTCAAGGCCAGTGTCCTCCTGTGTAGCTTTATGGCCGTGACCTCTCTAAGCCTCCCGCCCCTCAGCTCAAGCCACCAGCCAAGGGAGAGAGAGTCGGGTGGGGGCTGTTGCTGGCACCCACCGCCTGCCCTGTGACCTGAGAGGCAGGGTATCCCTGTATTACTGGATGGCCTCCCCAGCTTGAGAGTGAGCACGTGCCGTCGGAGTCCGCCTCTCCTGGTGGTCTAGGCCCCCCTCAGCTCAGACCCTAGCAGGTATAGCTGGTGGAGCAGGGTCCCCATCCTGCTAGACTCTTAGTAGCCAATTCAGTCCTCTGAGTCTGACACCCGCTCCTGGCTGTGTGTCCTTGGCCCAGTCCCTCAACCTCTCTGAGTCTGTTTCCCCCCCGAGGCGAAATCCTGCCGCCTGTGAGGATGACTCGAAGTCCCGTGCTTGGCAGACGGAGGTACTCCGTGAGCGACCCTTGTCCCTATTTTTATCAGAAGGGATTGTCGACCAAATTATCTTCCCCATCGTGTCTCTGCCAGTCACCCGAACTGAGGCCTCCCATGGGCCTCACACTGGGGGCTCAGAACAGCGGGGAGCAGCCCACGAGGGTGGGTCCCAAGTGCGGGCAGGTAAGGCTCCTCTGACTCAGATCTGCCCCAAGGCCAAGGCCAGTGGGAAGAAGCTGCAGAAGGTGACTCTCAAGGTGTCGCCCCGAGGGATCATCCTTACAGACAACATCACCAACCAGCTCATTGAGAACGTGTCCATTTACAGGTACTCAGCGGCTTCCCTCTGCCCCTCAGGGTGGTGGGTGGAGTGCTTTGTCTGAATCCAGGCTCTACCACTGCCTGTCTGGGCGACCTTGGTTGGGGTCTCAGTTTTCCTCATCTGCATCTGTCGGGGTGGAAATAGATCCCGCCCCAGGGGCTGTTGTGAAGCACTGAGGGCCCAGCGCCTGGCTCACAGCGAGTGCCTGGCTGAATGGCCGCTGCCACCGTCACTAGTTGCAGCCGCCCTGGGACTCTGCCACCTCCCGCCTTGTGCTGCTGAGTCAGGCTTGGAGCAGACAGCAGCGCCGTCACTGCCTTTTTTCGCTGGGATTACAGCAGCTCAGCTCTGGACATCTGGCCAGGCATCCAGGGAGGCCTCAGGCACGTCTGAGGCCAGAGCGTAGATGATCTCGATAGAGGGTGGGGGCTGGTCACAGGGCGACAGGCCCGGCCCTTGGAGCCTCAGGCCATCCCCACCTCTCTCTCAACTGGTCAGTTGTAGGCCTTCAGAGCTGGAAGAGACAGACAGCTCAGGTCCATTTTCCATCTGGGTAGCTGAGGCCCAGGGAGGGAATTAATTGCCTTCATGGTGAGGTCATGACTGAGTTGAGCCCAGGACACCGAGGGCAGAGTTGTGTCAGGCCTCACGTCCCTACACCCTCTTGCTTCATCTCCAGACAGGTGGCTCAGCCAGCTAAAGCACAGACCAGTCCTGGGGTTGGGGTTGGGGTGTGTGTGTCGGGGGGGTGGATATAAGCTGTTCAGTCGTTGTAGAGTTTCTAGCTTGTGTCTTCCTCTTCCCTTCCTAATTCTGCCTGCCTCCTTCACCCAGCGTTTACCTGCTCTGCTGAGGTCTGTGCTAGGTGAGAGGATCAGACCCAGCCCGCCTTCAGGGAGCTTCTAGTCTAGGAGGAGATGGAGGGGAGGGCGCGAGACAGAATTGTTTCCCAAGAGGGCAGAGAAGGAGAGGCCTGCCTGGGGTCAGCTGGGAAAGCCTCTCCTTGCTGAGGCATGAAGAATAGCCCGATCAAAGACTCAGGGCATTTAGGACAGGGCCTTGATGCCAAAGACCTAGGGCATTAAGGAGACCAGCTCCTCAGGGTAGGAGAAGAGGCGGCTGGGAAGCTGGCACCCCCTCACCCTGCCCACTCGGGGGTTTTAAATGGTCCTGATTGATCCCTTGTCAACACCTATGACTGACACTGGGGCCACATGAGTCAGGAAGTCTGCGGAGCTCCTGTCCCACCTCTGGGCCCACAGCTCCTCTCCTGACTGGGATTCCTGGGATGACGAGGCCAGACGGAGGGGTCAAATGGGTGAGGGGGTGTTTCAAGCGGGGGGAGCTGCCTCCTAGGCCCCTACCCTGCTCCCAGCTCCTTTTCCCCTGGCCCGAGCTCCAGGAGGACCTGTTAGCAGTCTCAGTCATCCTGGGAGCGATGGACCTGGACTCCTCTGACCTATGATCAGGGGGAGGGCATTTGAAGGGCCTTGAGGTGAAGGGCATCCTTTTCCCCCTTCCAGCCGGTCAGCAAAAACCTCCGTGAGGCAGCATGGCAGTGGCTGTGGCCCCCGGCCCACTAGCTTGGTGGTCTGTTAGCCTTAGTTTTCTCACCTGAAAAGTTGGGGGGGGGTACTAGAACCCATCTCGGAGGGCAGTTCTGAGAACTCAGGTGCCATCTAGAAGGCTGCCCGGTGTGCAGTCAGGGTTCAGCTGCTATTGTGTGGGGATGTGGCCTTCCTCCAGTCCTTCCCATCACTCCTTCCTGCCGAGCCTGGGTTTCCTCCCCTCCCCGTCCTGCCACAACTGGCCCAGGACGCCAGGCCCAGAGTCCTGCCCTGGTGGAATGGCATGGCAGGCTGTCTGAACCTCAGGGGATATGCTCTAAGGGACTTCCCGGATGCAGTCAGGCCCCTGTCCTGGAGTCTGGTGCTACTTCCCCCCCTTGCCTTTCAGAATCTCCTACTGCACGGCAGACAAGATGCACGACAAAGTGTTTGCGTACATCGCGCAGAGCCAGCACAACGAGAATCTCGAGTGCCACGCCTTCCTCTGCACCAAGCGGAAGATGGTCAGTTGGGGGGAGGCTGGGCTCGGGCAGCTGGGAGCCTCAGATTGGGGGCCCTGACTGCGGGGAAGGCAGGACCCAAAGGGGGTATCAGTTAAAAGTCTGAAATCCCTGGGAACTTCAAGTGGCTTCTCAGCTGAGAGCTGAGGGCACCTGTGTAGGGCTGCAGGTCAGCTGGCAGGGTGGACTGCCCTCAGCTGGCCTGTGGGCAGCAACAAGCCCACTTTCCCAGTGAGTACCCTGGGGCCCCTTCCACTCTTATCATATGATTTGATGGATTTGAGATCTGGGAGAGATCTCCTGTCTCTGGTATGGTCTGGGGATGCAAGGCCTTACAGAGATTAGTCTTTGGAGACTGGTAATCAGAGCGGTCCAGGGTGAAAGGCAGAGGTGAGGGCCTCCAGAGGACCTCGCTGTCTGTGGCCAGAGCAGCGAGGGAAATGGCCCTATATTGACATCTACTGTGCCTGTTTCAATGGTAATCTCTAAGGTATCGTCTCATTTGCTCCTCAGAGCAGCTCCGCGAGATGGGTGCTGTAACTGTGTTCATTGGTTTTCTTTTTAATGAGGAAACATCTTCACAGAGGTTGGCTCTCTTGCTCAAGATGACACAGCCAGCCAGGCAGAGGGAGGGTCTAAACCCACGTTTCTTCCCTCCCTGTGTGACTGAGGAGCCAGGAACCCTTTAACCCCATTTCCAGGCCACCCTGATCACATCTGGCTGGGATGGGTGGGACCTTGGTGGTCTCTGGGCTTTTGTCTTGAACTTCATGGCAAGCCGCTGGAGTGAGTCAGCCTTTGGCATTGACGTTTTTATTTCTGAGGCCCCCGAGGTCTGAGCATCCGCCCTGTAAGGAGGTTCCTGACGTTTATTGATTTAGTATTGTCCTTGGTTGATCTCTGTGTCTGAAGCCCAGAGCCCCAGTTCCTGTATCCTAGCGTCCTTAAAGCCAAGGAGACAGGATCTGTTCAACTCCCCCTGTCATCAACGACGCATCCAGGACGTTGCGATCTTAAAGTGGCCCCCAGGCCTTCTGTCGCCCCAGCAGTGGAGCACCGTCCAGTCTCCCTCTCTGCTTCTGTCATCACTTTGCTCTTTCTGACTCTTGCCCTCCTGCCTCACTCTCGTAACGCCCTTTGTGATTGGGCCTGCTGGGTAATCCAGGATAATCCCCTCAGAGTCCTTAACTTAATCGCATCTGCCAGGTTCCTCTCGCCATGTAAGGTAACATTCACAGGTTCTAGGATTAGATTGTGGACATCTGGGGTGGCGGAGGTGGGGGCTTCCCTTGTGGCTCAGCTGGTAAAGAATCCTCCTGCAATGCGGGAGACCTGGGTTCAATCCCTGGGTTAGGAAGATCCCGTGGAGAAGGGAACGGCTATCCACTCCAGTATTCTGGCCTGGAGAATTCCATGGACTGTATAGTCAGTCCGTGGGCACGCAGTGAGTTGGACGTGACTGAGCAACTTTTAAGTTTTGTGGAAGAGGGGGTATGGTTCAGCCTGCCTCAGGTGCTGTGAAGGGAGTGCTGTAGGAGACTGGCCAGGGGCCTGACCCCACCCTGCGGCCGTGGGTGAGATCCTGCCCTTCCTTGGGCTGCGTGGCCACTGGCGGAATGCGGAGGTCACCTCCATGGCCTCCCGGATTGTGCTCACGGGTCCCAGTTTCTTTGTGCACCCTGTTTCTTCCCTGCAGACTCAGTGTCGCCAGCCGCTCAGGCCGGCCTCGTGGTGCCCTGGGTCCCTGAGCTGCGGTGGCTTCTCCCATGACAGCCTTGTTCCCCACAGAACAAGCTTCTTATGTCCCCATTGTCGGCCTCTTCCTCCGCACTGCACAGAGCAGGCGCTGGGCAGGGGCAGCTGGCCCTCGGCCGTTGCTGCGGAGCAGGGGCTTCCAGCATGCAGGGGCTTCCTCTGGGGTGGGGAGGTCGGCGGTGAGTGAGAGCGAATGCTGGCCCAGGGGCTACGGGAGCCTGGCCTGGGGCCAGAGGACCTCAGACGGGCTTGAATGAAACCAGTCTGCCCCAGGCTGAGAGATCAGGTTTACTGGGGAGAAGAGCCGGCCACCGCTCGGTGCTGACAGCACAGCCGTCGGCAGAGGACCGGCTCCTGGGGACATCCAGCGCCAGGCTCTTCACTCTTCTGGGCCTCTTCTCTTCTGCGTCAGGAGCGGCTGGATCCCGGCTTGTCCTTCTCCAGCCTTTCCCACCTGGCCTGTCCGGTTCAGGCAGGCCCCTTGGAGAGACAGCCCAGCCCAGGGCGGTGTGAGAAGACCATCTGACACACGGGTGGTGTCCTTGTGGCTCCCACGGCCTCAGCTGAGGCCGGACTTCCAGTGTGTTATGGCCTCGTGGCCTGGTCGTGTTGGAGATCCCGAGACTCTCAGCGGAGAGGATGTGGCTGACGAGGAGGAGGCAGGAGGTGAAGTGGTGCCTCGGTGTCTGCATCCCTGCTGCCAGCAGGTCCCTCCGCAGATGCGTGCTGCTCCCGGTCCTGGGCTGAGCTATGCTGGGCGCCGGGGACCCAGGGGAGTGAGGCCATGGAGAGGAGAGCCAGGAATCAGTAACTGGCACGCAGGGAGCTTGGTTCTCGGGTGGTGGTCATTGCCGTGCTGGAGGTCATGAAGACTTCTTGGAGAAGGAGACATTTTGAATTGGGCTTTGAGGGGTGAGTAATAAGTAGGAGGAGTTTCCCAGGCTGAGTAAAAGGGGGCAGGGTGGTAAGAGGTTAGGTGCACTCCAGCCCAGGAATCATCAGCGTGTGCAGAGACCTGAGGCGCAAATTCAAGTGATATGTTCGGGGGTGGGGGATTCAGATGTTACTGGAGCCTGGGTGGATGGCACCTCAAGGGAACCTTGAATGTTGACGCAGCCCTCAGTCCTTTTGGCCAGGGGCCCAGAGTCTCCACATCCCCACCCTTCCTTGCTGGGCCGCCTGAATCAGCAAGAAGCCTCGATTCACCCAGATGGAGGGGGCAAGGGGTCCCTTTCTGGGTTACCCACCAGTTCAGCTCAACATGGGCGGCACAGCCACCAGGCCTGTCTTCCCTGGAGGCTCCTCTTGTGCATGGCCAGGATAAGATTCTCTACAGAGAAGTGTTTTTATCTGCCCACCTGGGAGCCCTCAGCCATCACGTCAGCCTCTGGGCTCAGCAGTGACGATGCCCTTGCCAGCATCAGTGGGGAGCCCAGGGTTGCAGCACAGGTGGTCTCCCTAATCCTGCCTGGGGTCAGGTGGGCAGAGCGCTGCTCCCTCTCAGGACAGTGGCGCCCCCCAGGTGGTCCTTTGGTGCAGTAGTTCATGCTTCTGGGCAGCAGGGCTGTGCAGGCACCTGGCCCCATTTGGTTGGTCTGAGTACCCAGCTGGGATTCCTGGATCCCACAGTCCTGGCCCAGGTCTACAGCGCTAAACCTGGCGGTTCCCTATGAGAAGCTGACTGCCTGGTTATCTGGAACAAGACAGGGACATGAAAAACTGGGCAAGGTAGTACTGGGTCAGGTCATAAGACAGACCCACAGGCCAGAGGCGTTCAGGAGGGGCAGACACCTGGCCTGTAGAATCAAGGAAAGCTTTTCTGTGAGCAGACATGAGCAGTCCTTCCATCTCATGCTGGTGCCCAGATTCCTGCAGTCGCCCAGGAAAATGGGGCCTACCTGCCCCCCTCCTCCACCACCCCACCAGTCGCTGTCCAGCCTGGGCTTGCAGCCACCTGCAGGCATCTGCATCTTGAGTTATATTTGGTTTAACTTGCAGTTCAGGACTTCGGGGCAAAAGGGCGGGGATGTATGCAAATGAGCAAGCAGATTTATGCAAAAACAGCATCAGGCCTGTGTCCCCAGATTTCCTGGAGGCAAAAATAATGGCGTTCTCATCTCCCTGCCACACTGGGTGACCAGCCCTTGCTTGGGTGTATAGTGATCTGACTCTGGCTGGTAATTAGCCCATATTTTTAGTTCATGGGCAATTCTCAATGGTAACTGGGTCTATTAAACTTGATTCAGACGTGACAGCTTAAATTGTAAACAGCTGTGAAGAGTTTCATACTTAATTACCATATTTAAGTTTTACCATAGAGCACCCGTACTTCTATCAAAAATGTAAATGACGGAGACATTCAAATGAGATTTTATACTTCGTGAAGTTTAATTGGCAGGGATCAGTCAGCTTGTTTAGGGATTTTAAATTTTAAAGAAGAGTTTTAAAGGCAGTAGCCACAGATTCATTTCTCAATTAAATTGAGTTGTCTGGCTGAGGGGAAGGGAGTGGGGCTGAGGCTGGTTAGGCCTGAACTTGCTGTGCTCTTGAAAGTCTGTCACTCTCTTCTCCAGGCCGGGCCTGCAGAGTAAGCTACATGTCGCTTCCGGCTATAGCTGTGAGTTCTAGGACTTTCACTCCCAGAAGTCGAGCTGATTAACCCTGAGCTGAAATCGGAGAGGAAGGGGCTGAGATGAAGGTGGGCTGAGGGTTGGTCCTGGCTGGAGTGTGAGGCCTCAGAGACCTATCCCCAGGCAAATGCAATCCAGCCAGCATCCTAGGCACCCCTGGAGGGCTGTGGAGAACAGGGGTGTTCAGAGTTGATGCCTGCCTTTGGGAGCACCCAGTTAGGGTGACATAGGCAGGCACGTGTGGACTTTCCCAGTGTCTCAGCGGTAAAGAATCTGCCTGCAATGCAGAAGACACAGGTTCAATCTCTGAGTCAGGAAGATTCCCTGGAGGAGGGCATGGCAACCCACTCCAGTATTCTTCCCTGGAGAATCCCCGTGGACAGAGGAGCCTGGCAAGCTACAGTCAGTCCATAGGGTCACAGTCAAGACAGGACTGAAGCGACTTAGCAGACAGGCAAGCATGCAAACTGGTTAACACTTTCATATGATTTCACTATAGACAGGTAGGCAGGGCTGTGGGAGCCCAGCGCCTGTGATGTCATGTGACATGGCATGGCATAGCGTGGCGTAACGTAAGAGAGTTGATGACATTTAAGTCGCGTTTAAAGAGGTAGAGGGGACTCCCCCCGGGGTTGAGGGCCAGCGCGTGGCCTTTCTTTATAAGTGGGTGATGGCACTGGATGGTTTTAGTCTTCTGCCCCAGGCCTTTGTTGACATCTTGCTCCTGCCAGGAAATGAAAGAGCCTCGCACTACCTTTCTGGCATCCAGTTGCAAGCCATTTTGACCTGGCGTAGTCCTCACCAGAGTCTGACCTGTGGCTCATCCCCCTTCCCCAACTCTGGCTTTTGTGTTCTGTAATTCTAAGGGCTCAGTTACTACGGAAGTCCTCAGGCCATTAGGGATGACTTCTTGGAGGAAGTAAGCCTCATGCTTAATTAATTGCATTTAGGGAAACTCAAAGGGGAAGGAAAAAACGTGGAGATGCATAGCCATTGCCAGGGTGGGGGTCGAAGTACCAGTGGGAACATTGGCTGGGCTGGGCTTCCGGTAGTGAAGGTGGGGCCTCAGGGGCCTGGGGAAGGTGTGGCCCCTTTCCTTCCTGGCTGCTTTGGTGATGGGGGGGGCTGGGTTCCACCTCCACCCGTCAGACATTCTGGAGCCAAGGTGGGCCTGGCCTGGAGTCCAGAGCCTCTGGTGGAGACTTGCTGTTACCTGCCTGACACTGTACCCCTCCCCCGCCTCCTCTTCCTGTTTTTTAGGCCCAGGCTGTCACCCTCACAGTAGCCCAAGCCTTCAAAGTCGCCTTTGAGTTTTGGCAGGTATCCAAGGAAGGTGAGTCTTGTCTGTGGATGCATCGAGTGGGTGATGGTTGGGGGGTGGGGTGTACAGGGGGGTGTTGAAGACCAGCTGAGCAGTAGGGGCGGGGCAGATGCTAAAGGCTCTGGAGTCAGCTTCTTCACCTAGTGGTTTGTGGCTCTGGTCAGGTCCCTGCACGTTCGAGCCTCAGTTTCTCCATCTGAAGAAACTGGGAACAGTTGTCTCCTTCCCCCACGGTCCTTGTGAGGAGGGAATGAAATATGCCAAGTTTCTTTCCTCTCTTCTGGAGACCTAACACCTGCCCCCCGTGAGATGGGCCACAGCCTGCCCCTGCCCAGAGGTGGCTGGGGCTGGAGTGCTGCCCAGGGACTCCCAACATGCTCTGCTTGGTCCCACAGAGAAGGAGAAGAGAGAGAAAGCCAACCAAGAGGGAGCGGATGTCCTGGGCGGGGGCCGCCAAGACAGCGCCCCTTCGTTGAAGAGCCGTGAGTCTTGAGCTGGGGGGAAAATGACCTGTTTAGGTGTGTGTCCAAATATGTCCAGATATGTCCTGTACAGATATAGAAATCTGGGTATATGTCTCTCCCCTCACACTTTCCAGAACCTCAGTGCCTGTTGTGAATATGGGTTCCAGCCTGAATCACGAGTGGGACAGAGCTTCTACCCTGTGGGCTGCCATGCAGCTGCCTCGGGAGGTTCCAGGGCGGGTCTGGGTGATGGGCCTGGAAAGGTCGTGCCCGAGGAAGGAGTCAGGACCAGCCCAGCCCAGGAGACACCAGGATGGGGCTCAGAGGCTGGGCTGAGGACAGGAGCCTCCCTGCCCCCTGACGCCCCTGACCCCTCACAGTGGTCGTCACTGGGAACCTGCTAGACTTGGAAGAGACGGCCAAGGCCCCACTGTCCACGGTCAGCGCCAACACCACCAACATGGATGAGCCACCGCGGCCTCAAGCCTTAAACAGCAGCAGTGTTGTCTGGGTGAGTGGTCATGGGGCCTGGGGATCCCCCACGGATCCAACGAGCCTCGGCCTGGTCCCCGGATGAGGCCTACGGCAGCTCCTGGGCAGGCCCTGGCACCCACTTCTTGCAGGCCTCTAGGAGGTCCTGACCCTAGCCGCACCCAGGCCCCGGGTAGGGGATGAACAATGTCCCTTTGAACCTAGGGCTGCGTCGCCAACAGGCTTGGCTCCCAGCAGAGCTATCTCCTCACAATGCCCGGCCTCTTGGCCCAAGCATCCAGCTCTGCCCACTGCAAAACTAGCCAAAGGCCCCCTTGTTCTCACTGTGGGCCTCTCTCTCCTGACACCCCTCCCCATCGGCTGTCTGAATGAGGAGCCTGAGACTCAGGCAGGCAGCCTGGCCCTTGACTGGCTCTGGGACCTGGGGCAAGCCCCCTGACCTTTCTCTGTCTCAGCTCTTTCACTTCCTCAGTGATGGTGATGACCTCTGCCTGAAGAATCTTCCAGAGGAACCTAACATGTAATACATGAAGTATTACAAAAACAGTACAAAGAATTCCTGTTCCCCTTCATATAGATTCCCCAGTTGTTAACATCTTACATAACCGCATTACAAAGATCAAAATCATTAACATTGATACAGCACTGTTACATAAGCTACAGGCTTTGATTCACATCTCTCCACTTGTCCCTCCAGTGTCCTTTCTCTGGTCCAGGATCCACTGCAGAATGACATGTTACTTTACTTGTCCTGTCCCTTTAATTTTAAAAAATCTGGACCGTTGAGGGACTTGAAAAACTGCCAAATCCCACTGCCTGTTGGGGGCCATTCAGTGTCCCCCGAGCGGGCACCGTGAACTGGTCTGGGAGCCAGCCTTGCCACCTGCCCGTCCCCCTGGAGGCTGCGGAGGGAGCCGACCCCTCCCCCCCCCCACCACCTAGGCTGTGGGATTCCTGTCACCAGCTATCCCTCATGAGCTTAGAATCCTGGCTCAGCTTTCGAAAGTGGGTAAAAGCAAGAAAACCTTCCCCCACCCTCTCCCTCTCGGATTTTGAAAGCCGCAGGGATCATTCAGTCCAGCCTCCTCATTTTACAGAAGGAAAAGCTGAGTCTCAAAGAGCCCCGGTGACTTGCCTCACTAAGGTGTCGCCGAGTCGTGGCAGAGCTGGAAACTGAACCCCCAGGCCTCTGGGCACCCAGGTGCCCTCTCTTCCCATCCCAGGTTTGGGTCCCTGTGCTGAGATGCTGATGGCAGTAGCCAGGGGGAGGCCTTCCTGGGCCCATTCCTCCAGGTGCCCGCCAGACTACTCCCATTCTCCCACGTGCTCGGGCCCCCTAGCTTCCCAGGGCTGTGGGCACGTGCTTCCCTCTGAGGGCTCTCATCTCCCACTTTGTTTTCCCCAAGGAGCTGGATGACGGCCTGGATGAAGCATTTTCAAGGTAACATCAGCTGGGCTCCTGATGCTGGGGAAGGAGGCCTGGTGCTTGCTGGGGGCTGGCCTCCAGGGCTCTTTGCTGTGTCTGAATTCTGACCTTCTTCAGAAGGAAAGTCTCAACTTGAATACGTCCAGGGGCGGGGAGCTCACTGTTCAGCCAGGCCTGCTAACGTGTCCTTGCCGGTGAAATCTGAAGCTATCATTCCTCGTGGCTGCTTGAGCAGTCTGAGCTGGGCTGAGCGCACTGCAGCTCAGCTTGGCTTGCTCTTGCTGTGTCTGGCGTGGCCTTCAAGAATGGGCTTTGGGCACAGATTTTGTCCTCTCCCGAGGTTTTGCCTGTATGGAAAGGGGCCGGGAGAAGGCAGTGCTAAATTAAGTCCACGTGGCATTTGCGTGAGGTGGGAGTGAAGCCCCCAGGAGATAGGTGGTCTAGCCGTAGGCTGGTGGCCTTTGCCCTTTTAACCAGGGGTCGTCTTTGTCTGCGGCTGCTTTCAGCTCGCGGGCATGCCGCCGCGAAGGCGGGCTGAGGAGAGGCCTGGGCAGCTCTGGGTCCGGAGCCAGGCCTCCCCTTCTCCCTTGGGACCCACAGCAGCCCCCTACAGCTGTCTCCCCTTCCCCATCACTTTCCTGCCAGAGCCAGTGGGAACCTCTCGGCCCAGCCCTGGGGGGCAGGGAGCGGCAGGTGTGTCCCCTTCATTATTCTTGTGGCCATCTCTCCTGCTTCCCTGGCTGACTGCGACCCTCCTATTTGAAGGAACTCTTTCATTTGCTTTTTCCAGATTACTAAAGTGTCATATGCCCTTAATTAACAACTTTGAAAATCAGCCAAGCATTAAACAGGAAATAACACCGTCCCATAATCCCACAGCCCAGACTTTGGGGCTTAACTCATGCTGATCCTATACATATGCAGTTTTTTTTTGCCTTGATCAGCTCATGATATTTGTATTTGGGGATCCTGATTTTTCACTCTACGCTGGTATATATCGGGAGCATTTCTCCAGGCTACCAAAAACTCCTTGTAAACACCTCATTCATCGACTGCCTCACATTCTTTTAAGGATGTGGGCTGTAATTAACTCTCCGGATTTTTTGGACATTTAATCGTGCCGCTTTTTGAATTTACTTTGTGAACGGAGCTGTGTTGAACATAGTTAGAGCCAGTGGTCTCCCATGGTTGCCCCAGGCCCCCTCCCACGCACGCCCCTCTCCGCCCTGGCACAGCTGCCCTTTCTTTTCTTTCCGGGGCATTTCCTGATGGAGCCGTGGGTGCCCCTGCCTCTCTGTGGTGCAAATGCCACAGCCTGCCCCACAGTTTTCTGAGCCACTTGACCCTCAAGGGTAGACTCTCTGGTTAGAGGTTCCACCTCTCCCGACATCTGGGTCTTTCTTTCTTTTCTCTAAAAAATAATTTTATTTATTATCTTTGGCGCAGTGAGTCTTCGTTGTTGCAAGAGGGCTTTCTCTAGTCACGGTGTGCAGACTTCTCATTGTAGTGACTTCTTTTGTTGCAGCGTATGGGCTCAGTAGTTTAGGCATGTGGGCTCAGTCGCCCACGTGTGGGATCTTAGTTCCCTGACCAGGGATCAAACCTGTGTACCCAGGTGAATTCCTAACCCCTGGACCACTGGGGAAGTCCTGGGTCTTTCTTCATTGTCCCCGAGTCCTGCCGTTTGCCCACCCATGCTCTCTCGCTTCTAACCCTGGTGCTGGACTGTCTCCTTGGGCCCCCACCAAGCCCCTTGCCTGGGCCCCCGGCTTACACAGCTCTGCCTTCCAGGCTGGCCCAGTCTCGGACGAACCCTCAGGTCCTGGACACTGGGCTGACGGCGCAGGACATTCATTACGCCCAGTGCCTCTCGCCTGTCGACTGGGACAAGCCTGACAGCGGTGGCGCCAAGTCAGACGACCTCTTCAACTTCTGAGGCCTGGGGCTGGCAGGACACGTGACAAACCAAAGCTCCCCACGTTTGGGGTGGGGGCCAGCTCTGGACACCCGCCCCCGGCCACCCTCCTCCAGTCGGCAGCGCTGTCAGCCTGAAGATCAAAGCTGCAGCCAGTCAAGCAGAGGGAAGGAGAGATTTTTTTTTTTAAAACCCCGTTCTTTCTCTAAGAACTGAAAGATGCCTTGAATATTTATTCAATGACTCCTGGTTCCAGAAGCCGGTTTGGCATCAGGCACGAACGCAGTGTGGTAACCAGCTTCCTGCCCTCTCTTGTGTGAGCGCTGCTCGCTGTGGGTGTCAGGATGGTGACCAAAGCATTTCTTGTCCCTTCTCTCTGAGGGCCCAAATTTCCCTGGGGGCGCCCCTGCTCCTTACTGAAAGGAGGTGGGTCCTTCGTTTCTGCCACCCTTTGAGCACAGGAGGGCCCTGCCGCCCCGGGAGAAGACACTTCGTCCCGCTCACCTTCCTGGCAGGCCCCAGCAGGCTGGGGCTTGAGCTCCTGGCCCCAGGGGAGCTCAAAGAGACAGGGGCAGCCCCTGACCAAAGACAGCACATGGCAGGCACTTTAGAGCACTCACCGCAGGTGCGGGCTCCCGCTCCGCGATGGTGCTGCATTGTGTAGAGCTTTCTTTCTGCCCTTCTTCCAAGAGAAGGGGCCCAAAGTCCCCATGGAGGGTCCCCACCAGTGCTGGGAACCAGTGTAACTGGCTGCCCACGGACTCCTAGAGTCTGTCTGCGACGATGGGGTCATCTGTGTGATCGCCTCCATCCTGCCCTTCCCCCTCCCAACACTGCTGTTGGGTCTGAGCCCCACCTCCCCATACTTCCTGAGATGACAAGCGAAACTTAACACCTAGATTTGTTCTGTGACTCCTTGGTCGTAAGTTTCAGATGAGGAGACTTGAGACCACACGTGTGGAAGAAGTTAGAGTCGAGAGTAGAACCCAGATCTGGTGCCAAAGCTGCCTTCTCACCCGCATCTCTCACAACTCGCACCTCCTTTTTTTTTTTTCCTAGCTTTGTTGTCCTCCCAGGAACCAAAAAGCACCAGCTATTTTCTGACCAAAATGTGTTTCATAACAAACCATCTGGTGCCTTTACACGCAGAACTGGCATGAGCCTGCGTGCCCTGCTAAACTGTCTTGCTGTTGATTTCCGTGAAAATGGAAGTGTTTGAAGTCTGCTAATTCAGAGGGTGAAGCAAAATCAAACTTCGTAAGCATCACGCGGTTCCTTCCTGACGTTCCAACCCCAGGTCGGTGCCAGCAGCAGCCCGTCTTCAGAATCTACCCCCTCCGCTCTCGCACAGGCTCCCAGCAAAGCCACCAGCACACCCTCCATCCTCAGGTGCCTCCCAGGCCTGGCTTTACCAAGCTGAAGTCCCTGGAGGTAGTCGGAGCAGGTTACACCAGCCTAGGAAACACCATTTTTTTAGATTTTGTGTATCTAACTAAGCACTGGAATCAGAGCACAGTCAGAAATGCCTGGGTGAGACGTGGGGTGGAATTGTCTTTCTCAGAATGTGGCCCTGGCCCAGCTTCCGCTCCCCAGCCCAGACCTCCTTGGTGTCAGCCCCTGTGTCTGTCATGAGGCAGCAGGGATCGGGCCTGACACAGGCCGCCCCCTGGCATGGGGGTTCAGAGGCCGGAGAAAGGCCGTGCTGTGTTTGTGTGACCCGCAGCGAGGCCTCGAGCTGGTCTCTGGCCGGCAGCGGTCAGCGTGCTCCCCGTGTGTCTGCAGAGTTTGTGCTTTCTTGGCGTTGCTGTAAAGGAATTCTAAAGAGGAAAAAAGAAATAAGTAGTAAATGTTCTCTTTCTGAGGACCGAGTACTCGGCTGGAGCGGCCTCTGGCGGACCCTGCCCTGGGGTGGTTGGAGCAGTGGTGACCACAGGCCCAGACGTGGGGAACAGTGGTCTGTGGTCCCGCAGATGAAGCCAGCAGGCCCTCTTTTCACTGGCCGATGGGCTATGTAAGGTCACCTCTGGGTATCGTAGTGAGCTCAGCCCTGGAGAGGTCTCTGAGGGTCTAGGTCAAGGCCCCTAACCAGGATCTATGACCCCCTTGAAATACCCGTGGCCACACATACATTTTTCTTGGGAAGGATGTCAGTCATTTTTCTCACCCTCTCAAATGAGGCCATGATATTTATTCATTTGACAGACTTTGTGCTAAACTCAAACCAGGCCTGGGACTTGGTGCTGGGGACTGAGTGGTCCAGACACCTTGTCCATGTGGACTCAGGACACTGGCGCGGGTGATTGGGGTTGGTGGGAAGTGCATTTTGGTGACTTGGAAGACCCACCGTCTAGCTCTGGCTTTGCTGCCTGGGGCTATAACTGGATCCATGACTTCTTTTCTTGAGCCTCAGTTTCCCCATCTGGGAAAAGGGTACAACCATCACGACCCTTTTCTGCCTCCCTGGGTTTTGTGAGACTTGAGTGACAGTTATCATATTGGTGATGGGCGTAGATGGTTCAGAGGTTATCCCAGACAAAAGGCAGTTTGGACCAAACATATTTAAGGAAGTCAAAGTAAAACTGACAGTGGTGGCCACCGTTAACCGAGCTCTCCTCCTCTGCCCTTGGCTGTGCCAGGCTGTCAGCTCTGCCTCGTCACACTGCTCCTCTTGAGGCCAGGTGGTTCTCACTCGCTTTCCTGCTACAGGCGCTGAGGCTACAGGCCACGCGGCCAGAACTCGGCCGAGGAGACACACAGCCGCAGGTCTGTGTGACCCTCCACTCTGCCATGTCCCAGTCCCCCAGCAGCCACGTCTGTGGTCACGCTGCCTGTGGCCTCCATCTTCAGGCTCGGGGGGGGGGGGGGGGTCCTCCTCAGACATTTATCTCTTTGTCCCTTTCAAACGGTTATAATAAAAGTCTCCGGAACGCAAGGCGGAACAGCTGTGACTTCTGAGCGGATGGGAGATGACGGAGAAATTCTCTCCTTTCTTCCTCTCCCATAATCTGAAAAGACACCCAACAAGTTCATCTTTCGGTTTAAATTTGGCCAGTGCCTATAGTCTCCGGATGTCTCAAATCATGAATCCTGAGCACCCGCCATCTGCTCTTTCATGCATAACGGATGAAGCCACGGAGAACAAAGTCGCCTTTCAGATTTGATGTGACCTTCAGCTTCATTGGGTGGATGTTGGGGTCTCCTCTCCCTGGGGAAGAGACCATCCCAATTAAAATCTCTCCAAGGACTTGCTCACAAGTTCAGAGAAGGAATCTGGGTGAATTCCTGTGTCCTTGGTTCCGGTCTGGGGTCTGTTCACCTGGCCTTCGGCCTCTCTCTTGTCAGGGAGTGAGCTTTCCTCCAGGGCTCACATGTCAGGCCCTGTTAGTCCTTCACACCTAACATCAGAGATATTAGTCCCCCCCAACCATGCCAGGAGCTGGGTGGTCCTAGTACCACTTTCAAGATGGGACAGTTGACCAGAGTCTCCCAGCCAGTAAGGAATGGACCTCGGATTTGAATCCTAGTCTGCCTGATGCTAAAGCTTGTGTATTTCCACGGCACTGCCTACTCCATAGAGTACATACCCCAAGCCGAGCTGCCTGTTTCCTGCTCTGGGGAGCCTCTCCCTCTGCGTGGAAGGGAGCGGTAGGGCCCTGGCTGGACTCGGGATGTACGGTGCTAGGGGCTGACTTCACAGGCTGGGGAAACCTCTCTCCCACTGTGCAGGCATGCCCTAGGGGCTGCTTCCCTGCACATGTCCAGCTGAGGACTCGGAAGGGCATGTCTCATCACATTCGGGCCCTGTCTGGCCCCTGGCCAGCATTACCCTGCATGTGGTGGAGCGGGGAGGCGGGGAGATGCCCAGAGTGAGCTTTGGTGTCCCTCAGAGGGGGCAGTATCCTCTGGGAGCAGACTCAGGGTGTCAGGTGGTGAATACCAGTCTCAGGAGCCGAGAAGGAGGGGGGCACATCTCTGGAACCCTGGCAGATCTGAACCCAGCAGCTAGTTTAAGCTGCTGTGCAGTGACTGAGCTAGTTGGCATTATTAGCCCATTTTAAAGATGGTTACACTGAGACCCGCAGAACTTCTGCCACCTGCCAGCCTCACACAGCTGGGAAGAGGTGGGCCTGGGATTCAGAGCCTTGTGTTTTCCACTGTCCTGAGGTGGCCCCGCCTCTGCCAATCTCTTGGAACATTTGGACAGTACCATGTCCTCTCTCCCTTAGGAACTTCGGGGCCCAGCACAGAGTAACCTTAGCTAAGTGCCCTGCACATGGATGCTGGCTTAGACTGGGGCCTTTACTTCCAGCCAGGACAGATGTGAGCTGTGTCACAAGCCCTTGCTGACCAGCTGACCACATCTGCTGAGCCCCAGCATGGGGTCAGGCTGCTGGGATCTGTCCAGGGATTGTGGGTCATGGTGCTCTAGAAAACTGGACGTAGGCTAGGTCTGTACCACACCAGGGGGACATGAGAAGTCAGAGTTGAAGGCAGGATTCTGGAAGAGGATTCCAGAAGCTGGGCCTCGAAGGAGGGGAGCGACGTTGGAGATGGCCTTCGCTAGCCTGGGAGCTCTGGGAGGTCAGGGCCTGGGTCTGATGCACCTGCGGTCTCAGCGCCCAGTGTAGCCCCTGGCACAGAGTGGCCATCAGTGACCCGAGTCAGCTGATGAAAAGGGAACACAAGCAACCGGACTTCCCGTGAGAACCTCTGAGAGCAGGGGCAGCCTCGGGTTGGCAGGCAAGGCTGGGAGTCAGCAGCCCAGAGATCAACTTCGTAGGCTCTGTGTTCTGGAGGCAAAACTGCCCAGTGATCGGCTTCCCATTGCCCCTGGGCTTTGACTTTCTGGGTCTCCATCATGCAGCCAGTGGCCTTGCACGTCCAGTCCAGCCTGGTTTGGTAAAACGTGTGGTCCACTCCTGTGCTGACCCAAAGATTTTGATTTTCAGAACGTCTTTAAAGCAGGATTCTGGAAAGTGAGAGCTGGGAGAACCACAGTAGGCCTCCTGTCCACCTTCTTTGCTTTCACTTGTTTTCTCCAGGGCTCACATGTCAGGCCCTGTTAGTCCCTCACACCGAACATCAGAGACATTAGTCCCCCCCAACCATGGCAGGAGCAGGGTGGTCCTAGTACCACTTTCAAGATGGGACAGTCGACCAGAGTCTCCCAGCCAGTAAGGAATGGACCTCGGATTTGAATCCTAGTCTGCCTGATGCCAGAGCTTGTGTATTTCCATGGCACTGCCTACCCCATAGAGTACATACCCCAAGCCGAGCTGCCTGTTCCCTGCTCTGGGGAGCCTCTCCCTCCGCGTGGAAGGGAGCAGCAGGGCCCTGGCTGGGCTCGGTACCTAGGGCAGTAGGGGCTGACTTCACAGGCCGGGGGAAACCTATGCAGGTCCCCTCAGACCAATGGGGCAGTGGAGAAGCCGAGCTGAGATTGGAGCTTTATTCTTTTCTGGGGCCCCCGCGCCCTGTCCCCCACCCCATGAGGGGAGAGGTCCCTTCCCCACGTGTGCTGGGGGGTTAGTGGGAATGATGATGAGGAGAGGCTAGAGGAAGGGCCTTGGTGAGTTCTCAAGCACGTGATGAGCATCGGCTCATCCCCCGTCTCCATCCCCCCTCCTCGAGGGCCCTGAGGCCTCATCTGCTGCTCGAGCTGTTGGCACGGATGCCTGGAAGAGAGAGCAGAGAGCTGTAATTACGAGCGCGGCCCCTGGAGCCAGGCTGGATTTGACTCTCAGATTTGCCACTTATTAGCCACGTAAGTGACTGAAGAGCAGATGACTTAGTCTGGGTCTCAGTTTACTTGTGTATGAAACAGTGAGACTCCCTTGTACGGCACGGAGATCAAACCAGTCAATCCTAAAGGAAAGCAACCCTGAATATTCACTGGAAGGACTGATGCTGAAGCTCTGATACTTTGGCCACCTGATGTGAAGAACCCACTCGTTTTGAGAAAAAAAAGACCCCAATGCTGGGAGAGATTGAGGGCAGGAGAAGGGGGCGACAGAAGATGAGATGGTTGGATGACATTGTTAACACAGTGGACTTGAGTTTGAAAGACAGGGAAGCCCAGTGTCCGTGGGGTTACAAAGAGTCAGACACGACTGGGCGACTGAACAACAAAAATAAGATGATAACAGCCCCGTCCACGCAGGGATGTCGTGAGAAGTAAATGGGTTAGTGCTGGCAGGGTGCTGAGAACTGTCCCCTGTGGCTGTCACTTGTCTTTACTGTCGCTGTGAGGGCTGCTGGGGGGGGGGGGGGGGGGGGGGGGGGGGGGAGGAGTGCAGGACCAGGGTCCCCGCAGGGCTGGGGCCCCACCCGCGATGGCAAAGGGGGAGGCAAGTTACGTGCCACCAGCCTGCCACCCGGTGCCGGCTCTGGCCCCAGCCCATCACACTGTGCCCCCCGGGAAAACTCCTGTAGCCAGTCAGGATGCAGGTAAGAAAACTGTCCACTCTAGCTGCTTCATGTAGGAAATTAATCTCTTAATAAAGAGATTCGGCTCTCAGAACCACTGGGAGCGCTTGGGGGTGTGAAGGAAGGCCCGCAAGGTTCAGGGAATCTGGAAAGATTGGAGTTGAGGGAGCCCCTGCCCTGGCCCGGCGGCCCTCTGCTCCAGCCCTGGGTCGGGTCCTGTGGGATCTGATCGCGAAGCCAGTACAAAGGCGGCTGGCCAAGGGAGGTGGGGAGAGTGGTTCCCAGGCGTCCAGCCCTTGAGATGCAGGCGGGCACGTTGGAAGGAAGGGAAGTGGCGCTGAGACCATCTGGCCACCCTTCCTTCCCTGACGCTCCTGAGGGAGGCAGGGAGCGAGAAACTGGGGCGGTCAGGCCAGAGGAAACCTCACCACCGTGCGGACAGTGTCAGGTGCTGTGTTGAGAGTCGATACACATGGTCTTCAATCCTCGTGAGAGCCCACACTGAGGTGGCGTGACCGGCCCAGGCTGGACCGCAGGTCCGTCTGCACATCAGCTCGGGCGCTGCCTCTGGGTGCTCTCTGAGCCACGCCGGGCGTCAGGAGTCATCCGTTCGGCACCCACTGATTGAGCACCCACCGCCCACCACCAGATTGGGTCCCGGGTGCTTGGAACACGGCAGGCAGCAAGCAACATGTCACAAAGACCCCATCCTGCGGAGTTGCCTTCCACTGGAGGAGGGGGCTCTGACCCTCCCTCCTCTCCAGAGATGTAGAATTAATCTCTGCGGTGCTCAGTACTGTGAAGGATGAAAAGCCAGCAGTGGAGGTGGGGGGCAGGGCTGCTTTATACAGGGGCGTGGGAGGGGGTCAGGGATGCTTGAGCACAGACCTAGAGGTGGGGGAAGGAAGGAGCACTTAAGACAGAGGAGACAGCAAGTGCACCCTGGCTCCCTGCCACCCTAGAAAGAGTGGGATGTGAGCGAATGGAAGGGGGAGGAGGTCAGTGTGGCTGGAAGAAGAGAGCCTGGAGACGAGGTCAGAGAGCAGGTCAGCACCGTGGATTTTTGGCTTGCTTGAGACGGAGCAGGCTGTTCTGGGCAGAGAGAGACAAGATCACAGAGGCCGCAGACGCCTCTGGGCTGCGGCAGTCATCCAGGGTTAGACTCAAAAGAGAGCGCACTCAGGGCTAGAAACGGGGCAGGTGGGAGCTTGTCATCAGGACGCACTTCCGACTCTGTCTCCCGCCGAGGGCGGTCTGTGGTGTCCCGGAGCCTGTGGGTCTGCGTCTCTTAAGTCCCTGCCTGCGTCAGGCTGTGGTGTGAGTGTCCCCAGGCGCGTGTGACATCCTGATGGGCGTGTGCAGCCAGCGCGTGTCGCCTCCGGGGGCTGTGTTGTGCTGCAGATGTGGGTGTCTGAATGTGAGTGCGTGGACGGGTGATCTGGGTGGGAGCCGGCAGGTGCATGTCTGCGTGCCTGTGTGGGCGCCTCCCTGGTCTGTGGGGGCGTC